GAAAGTTTCACTTGTTAAAAAAAAGCATTTGTTATAGTCTGTGCTAAAGCCTGATGTAATAACTGCATTTGCTTTTCTTCAACTATACCCCTGCTGTTAATTCTTGACATAAACGCAGGGTCTAACTCAACACAAGATGACAGGCTATTGACACTTCCTTCTCCATCTGTATCTATACTATTAACTCTCCTTTTTTCTTGACATGCTCGTTGTTCTCAACTTGGTCAATGCATTCATCTCCGGAATCACTGAGGTTTTTATCAGGGCTATAATCTTGACATAAGGATGACCGTATAATTTCTACAGCACTCTTGCCTACGATAATGTCTGTATAGCCATGCCACACATCTTGATGGCCTGTAATGTAAAATTCTATTCAGGTTATATATATACTTACTGCAATTGTGTATGCATAACACTCACTTTATCACTTTTGTGGTTAAATCAAATGTCATATAGGCAAATGTGCAAATCAAGGCACTAATAATTGACATTTAATGATTTTCATAAATTTATAAGTACCGCACTAATAATTGACATTTTCATAAATTGATAAGTACCAATGGCTGACTTCACATAACATGAAATAAGTACAATACTTTTACAGCAAGTAAATGAATTTAAGGAAAAATATGTGCTAGTCTACATAGCAAAATATTCAATCCTATATTATATCACGGATTTAATATAAATCCGTGATTATATTGATTATACTATATAGTATACTATCATTTAGGGGTGTCTTAATTTACCGGTTTACGGGTATATTGCAGTATGCTGCTTAACAACATCGTATACCGCAACATGAAATCAATGTACGATTTTTCAGTGTCAAAATTCCACTTTCTTTTCATTTTCAAGCTGAAATTCTTCCTTTTCAATTTATGGTTTGTTTGATTGAAATATTTACAATTATTTCCATAACTTGAATTCAATTGCACCAAATTCCAGCTTATACAGATTGTTATGATTATCAAGCGAGACTAAAAAAAGTGTCGGAGCACCACAATAAATACCATATTCCTGTATATACCGGAGAAAGCCCTTCAATAATTAAATGCTAAAATCTCGCCTTTTCAGCCCTCAAAATGCACTTAAGATGACTAATTCATCTGTTCACACCAATTTATATACAATAATGAATGAAAAATGTAAGAATGAGTAGTAATATCATGTGTATCCAACGCTCAACGAGAAGTAAAATGTAAGCACCATTCTGGTCATGCCATTACCAAATTTAGGTATTACTATTCACATCAAAAAAATATTTTTTTTTTTTAAGAAAAAGTACAATATTGTGGCTAATACAAACGCCAAAACTGCTTAAAACTCACCAAATGATGTGTTTCCTAAAATGACCTTTTCATCACATCCAGGACAATTTCTTAAACCTTGTTCAAAGTTATTCCTGTTCATTATGTAGGATGATCTAGCAGCAAGGGGTCTAAACAAATGTACTGCCAGGACAGCCTGTATATGAGATTCTTTTGTTAATGTTGGCAATGTCTTCAGACATCTGACATGTTTTTCTAAAGAAAAGAGGAATAGATCTTTGTAAAACTAAATGATATGCAAACCAATAAAACAATGGAATAATACTAACCTATATTAGTTTACAGTAACAGGGCCGGCAAAATCAATTGTTCGTATTGCCCAGGTTGTCCTAAAACCTGTACGGACAAGTGAAGATTTTCAAGAATTAACTATGTAAATATCATATGGACAAGTTAAAAAATGTTTCACATAAAAACGGACAAGTAAGTCAAAATCAGATTTTGCCGGCCCTGCAGTAATGCATTCTCATTCACTGGTACATGGCTTTGATCTAAGTGACATGAAATTAATCTATATTAGCTAACTTAAATAAGAGCTGCAAGTAGAACAGGGTGCCCGACTATTCAAAAAACAAAGTGCTTGAAAGTAAAACAACATCCTTACTGAAGTTACTGGTAGGAAATTTGGAATGCACTAAGGGTCCGGAATAATTTATTAAAGGGCTAAACATGTATTGTAATTCAGTCAAAATCTTTGTAAAAGTTATGAGTGTATTATATTGGAAGTGATATATAATTATGAGTATGTGAAGATGTAAATGAATACATGCACCGGTAGTACATGTACTTGTGAAGATTATTTTGCACATCAAACTTTAATCAGTATTTTTTTTAATTTCAAAAAGGATTTTATATATTCCTAAATTACTGATCTTGGAGATAAACCACAATAGATAGGTCCCTGATTTTTACAATATTTATCTCCTTGACAAAAGTTCTAGCCATTTTTGGGTCAATATTCTATATAATATAATTTCAAAACAAAATATGTAAAAATTACGCACATGATATATTGGGAATTAATGACCCCTAAAATGGCTGCCAGGGGAGATAATACCTGTTATGTGAAAAGCATTTATTAATTGTGATCCCAAATTTATGTAATGAGTTTCAAGTAAATATCTTGACAAGTAGTGGATGCAAAACATTAACCAGAGTTTTTTAAGTTGAAAAGGACAATAATTCAGGATAGATATATGCGGGACTTGGATACTGACGTCCAATTAATATTGTGATCTTAAAGACATAAATGGTAGTTTTGGTGATACTAGATTTTTCCTCAGGGTTTAACATGACACAATTTTCTGCAACAAGTAAGCATAAAATGCTATCTAGTATGCTAGCAAATTGTGAAATTGCATCCAAAGAAGGGCTGATAAATAGAACTGCGATGATTCACCAAATGTTCTATTGGATCCGATTTCAATTTCTTGCACTCTGTTTTGATTATTTTTTGATTTTATTAATGTTTCATTTCTGTTCCTACGCCATTTATTAAAGATTTGTTGTAGGATTTTTTTGATTTATTTATTCTACTTTGATTTTTGAAGCCATTATGATTTGTTTACCGAAAATACAAAACTACCCGCTCACTATCTGGATGACTTAGTTAAATTTAACCAATCATATGTAACGTAATAAAGCAGTATACTAGCCAGAGAGAGAGATTAAAAACTCCCATTTTTCCATATTCATTTTCGTTTATGAATCAAATCAAAATTGTTGTAGTTGACATTGGATTTGAATTGGCGCCCACAAAATGGTTTTGGAATGAATTGTTGCACTTCTAGTCCTCTGAGATGTAGAATGATTACCTTAAGCTGAAAAGTTTGGGGACCATGTATTGCCTTACAATTCAGGGTAGCAAATGTATATCTATTTTAATAGTCAATATCTGTCCCTGTGTGAGTTAACTTACTGTCCTTGCTCAACCAATCAGATACAACTTTACAAACTTTGTATGCGGTCAACCTTGTCAGCTATTAGAAATCATTTTACCTCCTTTAGGACGCAGTCCTATAATCTGCTTGTGTACTGGACATTATTTCTAGCATATATGAGGCAGAAAACTGTGTCATGTAAAATCTGCATTGAATCTGGGACGAAAGATACACTATTCTGTCCCAGATTAAATATTTTTCAAAAGTACAGAAAAATCATGAATCTGCCCACAACTTATGCTTTTTCCAGGGTAATAATGTACATATTTTGCACAATCATGTTTCTAATATTAAAATTTCAAACTGAGTTATTGCCCCTGAACTGTTAAATTTCAAGCTATTTTGCGTCTTAATTCATCTTGTGAAATTTGCTCAAGTCATGCTTGAATACTATACCATTTAAGAAAAACTGCTGCAAGCCATCCACCATACCAGAGTCATCGCCGATCTCCTCAGCTAACACTTGATAAAGCCAAAACCACTGTTCCCGAAGAAGACCAAACAAATATAATCCTTTATGGCTTCGTAGTTCGAATTGGGCATTGCGAAAATTCGTGGAATAGACACCATTGCAACTTAACACTTGCACTGGACAAATCACCTTCGTGCTGAATATTGGGTAGCTGTCATTAAACGGGCGTTTGAAAAGTAATTTTTTAAGCAGACAGTCTTTTTTGAATGACGCCATTTTGTAAATAGACTGGTCCCCTGCGCATTTCAGTGGGAACATCTTCTTCTTCTTCCGGGTAATGTGCTGGGCCCCTCTGGAGCATCGTCGCACAATTGTGACTATTTACATGAGTGAAGGGAACATCAAGTGCAGCTAAAAACAGGTTAAAAACACCATGCTCCAGAGTTACTCGTGCAGCGCACCCATCCTCGTCTTGAAGACCTCTAGGGACGGGGCTGTCATCACGACTTCTGGTAGGCTGTTCCAAAGTCGGATCCCAGAAGGAAAGAACGAGTACTTGTATGAGTTGACACTGGTAAAGGGTTGTAGGTACTTGTTGGCATGGCCTCGGGTGTGTACTCCAGCAGGGATCAGTATGTGATGGGCTCGGATATCCACCAGGCTGTAAATGACTCTGTACATCATCACTGCTTTGGTTTGCTGACGGCGGGCTTCTAGAGTGTCCCAGCTTAGAGCTTCCATCATTGCAGTAACGCTGCTGGTGTGACGATAATCACCTGTGCAGAACCTGGCTGCTCTTCGTTGGCAGTTCTCGAGCTTACTGATGTTGGCCTTGGTGTGTGGGTCCCATACTGACGAATCATACTCGAGCTGAGGTCTAACCAGTGTTTTGTAACATGTCGCCTTGATGTTCTGTGGACAGTGTGATAAGTTTCTGCGTAGAAAGGCAGTGGTGGTGTTCACCTTCTTTGCAGTAGCGTCAATGTGGCTGTTCCAGGAAAGCGTATTGTCAAGTGTGACACCCAGATACTTTGCCTTGTTCGTCTGCTTGAGTGTTTGGTCATGGATGGCATAGGACCAAGTTATCACTTTCCGCTTGTTGGTAATGCGAATCATCTCACACTTGTCGGGATTAAACATCATCAACCAGTCTTGCTCCCAGTCTTGTAGGCGGTCAAGATCCTGTTGTAGTGCAATGCTGTCTTCCTCAGAGCTGATGGTCCTATATAGTAGGCAGTCATCTGCGAAGAGGCGTGCTGTGGAGGAGACCCTGCCCGGCAAGTCGTTAATGTAGACTAGAAACAAGAGAGGCCCTAGGACTGTGCCTTGCGGGACTCCTGATGTGACTGGTGCTTTAGAGGATGTCTTCCCGTCGAGTACTACTTGTTGTTGACGGTGTGAGAGGAAGCTGTTGATCCAACCCAGAGTCTTGCCTCTGATCCCATAGTGGTGAAGCTTGGCCGAGAGACGTCGATGGGGGACCTTGTCAAACGCCTTGGAGAAGTCTAGTAAGATGGCGTCGATCTGCTGTTTGTTGTTCAGGCCCGTTGCAAGGTGGTGATCAGTTGCGTCTCGCATGATCTCTTCTTCCGAAAGCCATGTTGCATATCGGAGAGGATGTTGTTCTGATCGAGGAAACTGATCACGTGGCTATGGACAATGTGCTCTATAATCTTGCAACAGATGGATGTCAGCGAGACTGGGCGATAGTTTGAAGGCTTACTCTTGTCTCCCTTCTTGAATAGTGGTGTGACTAGTGCGCCCTTCCAGTCATCTGGTACTTGGCTCTGATCGTGTGAAGCATTGTTGATATGGCTGAAGCCAGTTCCCTCAGAAATCTGGATGAGATCTGGTCCGGTCCAGTGGCCTTGTGTGGGTTGAGATTCTCCAGGAGCTTCTTGACACCCTTCTCATGGATCTGCAGTGGAGGGGCTGTTTCTTAAAGGTTAGGGCCCATGTTCGGTAGGCTCTCAGCATCTTCTTCGGTAAAGACGGAGGAGAATTGGGCATTGAGAATCTCTGCTTTGGCACATGGGTCGGAATGGCTGATGCCATCTTTCTTGAGTGGTGCAACGCCTGAGCTGTCACTCTTCATGCTCTTGACGTACGAGTAGAGCTTTTTGTTATTGGTACCAGGCTCACTGACCATGTTCCTAACATACTCGTTAGGATATAAGAGGACAGGGAACCAGATTATTTTTGTAACCGGTTGTTCACCACTAAATATGCGGTATGTTACTTACCGAAATCAACTTTTCATTACCGAAATCAGCTCATTAAATCACAATTAATCAATTTATTTGAATTATTTTTCTATGGGTTGAATTGAACTTACATGCAAAAAATCACCAAAAAATAATAGATATTGATGATGTTAGAGACGAAAATATATTTTCATGATTTCTTCCTATAGCTAATGCAAACCGAGATCAACATTAATATACAGAAATGGACCTGTAAATTAAAAGCAAGTTTGAATAATTTATATTAGACCTGTTTTGATATTTAATATAAATGAAGATTCAATTTGACATGCAAAGAAAGA